CGCTACAAGTAAGGAAACTGAGGCTCAGGGGGGCGCAGACACAAAGGCAAAGGCATAGGGCCTAGGACTCCCAGAGGCCTCTCCTCTCAAGGTTCATCCATCCTAAACTATTTCCCAAGTTCACACCGACCCACTGAGTCCCGATAGCCCAAAGGGAGACCAAGGACTTCTGTCCGAAGCCTCTAACTGCTGCTTAGCCAGCTTCCTCCCTTCACCTTGAGCCCACTCTATAATCAGTTTTTCTCAAGATACGGAATTCTCAGAAGCCTGGTAGACCAAATTCTGCCCCTCCTCTGGCTTTCCCTCCTCTGGCTTTCAGGAAGACACTGGGAAGGGAGGGTGCTGGGCTGAGATCAGATAAGCCCCCCATAGTCAGGATCAGTTTCTATCACTTGTTGAGGAGAGCACATCTTAGTTGTTCCCTCTTCTCAGAATAGTGACTCTTTCACCCATTATGGAGGGGGTGGGGAATGAGGGATGAGCTCTCCACTGGATGCTAGCAAACTGGGTTCTAACAATCCTTCTCTGACCTCCTTTCCTGCAGCTATTCAATGGGAGTCAGCTTTCCATCATCTTTTTCTGTTGTCCTCCTTCTCTAGACTACCTTCTCCAGCCTTCTGCACCTCACCCACCATCAAGCCTTAGAGCTACTTCTCCCCAGGGCAATGACCTTCTTGACAGCCCTGCTGCTTTCATTACTCAAATGCTATCCTGTTCCCTAAGGAAAGAATCCAACCTTGAATGCTGTTCTGATTGGGTTACCCCTTATTCCCATCAGATCCTTGATTGTGATGGTTCCAGTCACCTGGAAACAAGAGTTCTTCGGACTGAGTTTTGGGATCTGCCACCACCATGGCAGTCTTAGCCCCCAACACATCCCAACACAACCCTCTAGCCTTAAATAGACTAATCTCTAAGCCAAAAGTCCTTTTGGAGTTCTGACTGTAGAGTAGCCAAGTACTGGTGGTCTTTCATCTTACTTTCAGCCCAGTCTCTTTATATGTAAGCACAGAGATGCTTGATCAAATGGTGGGAAAGAACATCACATTCATTATTTCACTGTTCAAACATTTATACTTGTTCTCAGGTGTCAGTTTGAACAGCAATCCTCCTCAGTCTACATCAGATTCCCCTCTCAGACTCCTCTTATATGGCACTTGCCACAATCTATGGTACATATATATATACAATTATCTGTCCAATGTCATTCCCTTTCCCATTGGCCTGGTTGACTCCATGGTGGCATGGACTGTCCATCTTGTCTGCTATGTGGCCCCAAGGCCTATTCCTGCATGGGATTCTGACAAGGACCTGCTGACTGAATAAAAATTCAGGCCCCCTTGGGAGATAGGATCCCAATGACTATAGAAGAGGAAGTTGTCTAGCACTGACACTAGCACTAAACAGGAGGCTAAGTAAAGTGCTCTAGGCAAGCAGATCTCCAGGGAGAGGGATGAAGTTCAGGAAGGCTTCCTGACAGAGGCATAGCTGAGCTCACATGGTACACTGACTAAAGCATAAAGCATTCACAGGCTGTCCTACAAGGGCACTGCCACCTAACTCAAATGTATCCAGGAGGACCCTAAGAGAACTTATTTCACCTATAAGGAAACTGAGGCCCAAAGCAGGACATAGACTAGTTCCTAAAGAAGCCCAGACCTAAGCCTCTTGGGGTCTTGCAATTACTATGTCACACTAGGAGCTCAGAGACCAGCAGAATTGCAGAGCATGTTCCTGCTCTTTTCCAGAAGTATCTACTTTACACTTGACTGAAAAATGTTTCAGGAAGAGGGGGCAGGATGCTGCTGGTGCTGCCTTGGTAAGGCAGAAAGAATGATTTGGCAGTCACCTTGGGAAGTGGTGCGCTGCAGGAACCCTGCTGTAAAGGGTCAGAAATCTTTCAGAGGGAGGCCTGTTTGTGACTCTCAAGCAGGCTTGACCTCCGACAGAAAGCTGGTTTCTGAGGGAGAGCAAAATAAGCAATAATCTTGGTTTCCTTTATCATCCAGGTGCCTCCACAGGAGAGTGGGGCCACAAAAGCCTTTTTTGTTTGTTTTGTTTTTGGAATTCGCAATTGTCTATTTTCTTAAGTCTTCTCACTAGGCTAGAATCATGTGGTCTTGTAGAGTCAGGCCTAGATCTTGCCCCTGAAATCCCCAGCAATCAGAGAACAGGGGTTCAATGTTTGCTGAACAAACCATCCTTTCCACATGTGTAACTCCTCAGCTTAAGACTTTGCTGAACCAGGAAATATACCCAGAAACCCAGAAGAGAAGAATTCAAAGATAAAAGCATTGGAGAATCAGATAGGAAAAATACTCAGCAGATATAATCAATACAAGTTTGGTTCTTTGAAAATACCTTTAAAATGGACAAATCTTTGGCAAGTTTTGATCAGAGAAATCACTAATAACACCAGAGTGAAAATATGAAAAACTGACAACAGAGAGATTTTAAAAAGACAGGAGAAAATTACATAAAACTATAGCAAGAAATTAAAAATCTAGGTAAACTATGAAATTACCAAAGACCTTTCACAAGTGTTACCTCAATAAACTCTCACAACAGCTCTGTGCCTTGGACAGGTAGTGCTCCTATTATGTTTTCTAGAAGAGATAAAGAGGTGGACACCCAGCACAAGGGCTTTGACAAGCTACCCTGTTTGTCTCAAAGGTCACAGCCATGGGAGCACATGCACATTGATGACACTGAACTGCATCACTGAAGGGCTTCTAATCATTGCCTTAAGCCTTACACCCCCTAGTTAAATGGCCAGACTTATTTATTTTTCCACTTCAGATGCCATAAGGGGTTTCACTTTATTTTTACTTCAAAAACAGCACCATAAAAATCCTTGATGATTAGAGCTCCAGCTGTCTTAAGTTGTTTGTCAAGGGATCAGTTACTCAAATCTCCTAAGGAGGGAAACAGTTTCAGGCGAGAAGCCATGGGAGCTGAGAAACGCAAATGTCTCACCTCTGAAAACTTTCAGACTCCCTCTTGTTCACTGCCTGGCCTGCCCCCTGTTCCCCCTCTCCCAAACCCACCATCTGCTCTCCAGAGAGCAGATCAAATTTTCAGGCTAAGGTACTCTGGCGCCAAGGACTCAGCCCCTCCATGCTACCTTCTGCCCCCCACCAACTTAGAAATCCAACACCATGACCTAAATGGACTGCAGCCACATAAAACCACAAAGTAAAGTTTATAAAGCTTTATTAAACATTTCAAACAGCTGTGCAACGAACACACCAGAAATAAAAGCTCCAGAATAGCAGTCCAAATGTTCCACAAGTGTGGCCTCCCGGTCCCATTTCCTAGATGGACTGCCTCCAGTTCTGTCCTCTGCCTGGCCCACCTCCTTTCCCGCTCAGGCAAGAGAAAGATGGATGGTTTAGACTGGAGGGACAACCATACCGATTGCCAGTGGGCAGGGGCCAGGAGAAAGTCTCGTTTGCCAACACGTGTATGAAAGCGCAGAAACAGCAAAAAAGCAAGTGACAGTCACAAGTCTTCCTCTTTGTATTCTTCATAGAGTCTATATGTGCAGGACTGAAGGAGCTCCTGGCACGAGGATGGTCACTGCTCCCCTCTGTCTTGTCTGAACCACCTTGGAGTCCAGTGTGCTGGTCACTCTGCAATCCCATGCTAAATAAAAACTGTAGCGGCACCTACTATAGTAGCTATTGCTATACCTCAAAATCAGAACACATTCAATAAAGCTTATTTAAAAGGAATATACACATGTATTTGTTCACGTACACACACGGCACACCAAAAAATATCCAAATACCTATCAAGGGATCATGGCTGTTTTGAAACACACAAGTACTCTCTCATTCACTCGGCTGGGGACTCTAGATCTACATGAACACACTACACCTCAATCCTGCAGAGCATGCACAGGAGAGACAATGAGGCCAACCCCCTGCCCCTTTGGACAGCTGAGGAGGGCAGGAGGAAGGACAAAGGAGTGAGGCTGAGCATGAGCCCAGACACCCAGGTGAAAGAGCAACATGTACCTGTTACTTCTTTCTTAAAAATGAAGTGGAAAAAATACTGGAGATTTGTGAACAACAGTCAGTCAATACATGTTTCTGTCTAGCCTGCTGATCAGGGAAAGAAGAATGAAAAAGCGAGGCTCTCGGGCGTCAGCAATCTCTTTAAATTCGAGATAAGTGCAAAAATGAGCCCTGTCTTGGACAGATGCTCCCTAAAAAGGAAAGGGGTAGAAGAGAACTAAAGGGAAACCAGGAGAGGAACTGAGGACTTGGGAATATTCTGGGAAGGCAAAAGACCCTGACAAGGAGGGAGTGACAGAGGTGACAATGAACTTGGCATTTTATCTGCCCAGGTCATGCTGGGATAGTTGATCAGGATGGGTGCAAACTCCTCGCAGGAATGAGGCGAGGGGGGAGGGGGGTGCATCTTGACAGCTGGGACCAAGATGGGGACAGAACACACACAACCACAAGACCACCCACGACTATAGGACTCTACAATAAAAGCACCTGTCAGTGCTATTATTCACATTTTAAGGATAAAACATCACAGGCCAAAAAGGCGCCGTCAGGAATGTGGCACCCGCAGGCTGCGGGATTTGAAACTCCAATGCTTTATGACCTATGTCAATGCCTCCCCTCCCGTCTTCTGCTTCCTTAGAAAGCTAAATGTGCAGGCTGTTAGGTGCCCACAACGCTGGGGTCATGTGCCGATTCCGGAAGTGGGGAATCGGAGCAGTGGTACAGGAAACAGTTTCCCCAGCAGCTATAGCAGATGAGGAACAGAGCTGCTAGGAAAACCAAGGCACAAATTGTGCAAGGCTTCCGCTCCAGGAGGAAGCTGAGCAGGTAGAAGCCCATGAACATGGAGTGGCTGAACCACAGGGCGGGGTTGAGGGGCTTGGGGATGAGGAGGACAGGCAGCAGCCACTGGAGGCAATACATGATCTCTGTCAGGCAGGGCCTTCGCCAAGGCCGCTGAACACCGCTGCAGGAACCGACCTAATGGGAGCCCGCGGGCGTGGGCGCTGCCCTCCGCGTTCTTCAACCCTCACTCTCCAGGAGCTCAGCCGCTGTGCTCTCTGGCTGTCAGCTCAGGATCACCAAGGCAGCAGGGGTCCTGAAGAGAAAAGTCAACACAACAGACAGACAAAAACAGACAGACAGACAGACACAAAACAAAAAACAAACAAACAAAAAAACAGGAACAGAATGTATACTTATTTGGGAAAATGGATCATGGTTAACAACAGTAAATGTGAATGCCCTTTCCTCCCTGCCCACCCAGGGAAGTCACCATTTCTAGAAGCCTCCTGGGGTGTCTCCCCTGGGCTTCTTGGGGGCTCTTCCGTCAGGTCCCAAACAGTGGACTGGCTTTGCCTGGGCCCCGCCCAGCAGAGATCATGTATCGCCTCCTGGGGCTGCGGCCCGTCCTCAAGGGGTCCAGACCTCACAATACCGCTCTGTGGTTGCCATCAAATGGTCATGGCTCGATGTTGTGCCCCACAGGATTAGCACAGGGTTCTCTCTCACAGCAGGTGCTCAATAGAGAGTTAAATCAGTTAGCGGCGCAGGGCCTGTGGGAAATTACAGTAGCAACAGTACCATCAAATATTTTGTTTTAAGATGGCAGCCTGGGATGAGCTTGCTTTTACAAATTAGCCTGGCGTCATTTTACCAAAATCAGCCAAGTTCTTAGAAAGTGAATATAAAAAAAAATTAAAAATCACCATGCTACTTTGTCTAAACTGACCTCGCTTGGATCACTTACACTCTCCATCTGCTGCTGGCACTATATAGAACCCGATTTCTGTGAGCTTTTAAAAAAAATTAATTTTCTGTCCACATAGGGGCAAATGCTAGTTAGCCCCTGTGCCAGGCAGTATGCTGGAGAGAAGTGCTCTCCGGTGGCGGGCCACCAGTGCGCTGGGGCCGCACTCGCAGACCCGCTCGCGTTAAGGTCTAATTGATGCGTCTGGATACCGCGGCAGCCACAACCCTCTGGTGGCGGTAGCAAAACCCTGCTCCAGCCGCCCAGTGCAACGAATACAAAGAACCTCGTTGGCTGCGGAAGACCAGGGCGGGGGGGGGGGGGGGGGGGGGGCCAGAACAGAAGACAGAGGTTGAAATGACCTGTCCAGCAGCAAACTATCCCACAGCGCATTCTGACCACTTCACGCGAGAGCTCATCCCATCCCTTCTGCACATACAAAGGTGCCAATCCCTCCTGTACCCCTCTCAGAGGGTATACCCAGTAACTACCGTTTTCCCGCCTAGAGTTCAGTGCCCTGGTAGGATTCCTGCAATCGCCACGGCCATAGGTCTAGCAACGTAAGAAGTGGGACTCAAGGAACCAGGGAAAGATTACTCGCTCAGAGACTCCTGTGAAACAGAGGAAGCTGGCTTACAGCACATCAAATATTCAAAAAAGAGCGCTGAGCAGGGGCCTGTGAAGACAAGGCTCCTGGAAGGGGCAGCCTTTTCTGTTCTGTGGGTAAATGATCCCTCTCTAAATTAGGTATCCATCTGTGCCCAAGGTGGGTTCTGGGACGGCACCGGACATTGGACTCAAAGAGATGAGGTCCGTACAAGAGGCGCACAAACCCTACACTTGGGCAGTTCGCTACTCAGAGTTGCAATCCCCCTCCATTTTACACTAAAATTCAAAAGCGAGTAAAGCAGAATCTTCTGGAAAGGGGCTAAAATGAAACTCTGGAGGCGGGGGTCGGTGTGGAAAGAGCAGATGGATTATTTTTTCCTCTCCTAGCGAATGAGGAGCGCCCCCGGTCCCCCCACCCTACAGGACCCCCCCCCCCAAGTGCGCATGCGCATTTGGGTGGCGGGCGGATACTTAAGGGGCGGCTGCGGCAGTGCGCCCAACAGCGGACTTCAAGAGACCAGCGGCCCTCGGCGAACCCTTAGCCTTCGGCAAACTCTCTCAACCACCTATTCTCGGAACCATGGCGGCAGTGGCGGCAGCATCGGCTGAACTGCTCATCATCGGCTGGTACATTTTCCGCGTGCTGCTGCAGGTAAGTGTGCCCGGGGGTACCGGGTGGCAGAGGGGGCCCAATGTGTGTACCCTGAACCCAAAAGCCCACGTTGCAATTGCCGCCTCTCATACCCATCCAATCCTGATTGCCGCGATCCCTGATTGCCGCGATCCCTGCCCGTCCGAGTGCCGCGGCCGCCACCACGCGCCCCCACCCGTCCCCTGCGCCCTCCTCCTAGCGCAGACCCTTCTCAGTGCGCCCGCGCCCGGCTGGGAACAAAGAGTTGGGGCGCGGCGGGCGCCAGCCGCCGACGAACGCTGAGGCTCTTAGCAACCAACGTGGTAAGAAAAACCCGCTACACTCAGACTCGACCCCAGGAGGGAGGCGGGGCACCTCTGTTTTGCGAAGAGACTTTACAACTTGCATAGCAAAAATTTTCCACCTTAAAAATTGCGCATTGCGGGGAAATTTTCTTTTTAAAAAATATAGCGCTTGCGGGGCTGAGACGAAAAATAGATTAGGAAAAGGCACTTCTCAAAAACAAATACAAAGCACTTCACAAAGACCAACAAACTAGGAAAAAAGTAATTTGCGGGGGGGAAAAATGAATTCGAGAAAATGCGCATTGCAGGAAAAATAGACAAAAGCATTTGGCAGAAAAATTGCATTAGATAAAAAGCGCATTGCAGAAAAAATATAGACAAAGAAGCTAACAAAAAATGAATCAGATAAAAGCGCTTTGAGGAAAACAATTAAAGGAAAAGGCTCTTTGCAGGAAAATGGAAGAGGAAAAAGCGCTTCCTAAAAAACCAAATTGCTTTATTTTTTAAAAAATCTAATAGAGGCAAAGCACTTTGTGTAAAAAAATAAAATAAAATAAAATCAGAAGCGCTTTGCCCATAAAATCATTTACCCTAAAAGCACCCTTTGCAGGAATAATTTCCTGCTAAAGGATTCTTTTGCCAAAGGACTTGCATATTTCCTTCAAGGTGTTCCTGGAATGCTGCATTTACTGGGTAGGATTCCCTTTTCGAAATTCTCCAGGGACCCAGCCTATTGCAAGAAGTGAGGTATACTTAAGTTTTAGGTCCAATCAGCTTGCTGCCATGTAGCCTTCAGCACAGCTGGAAAAGCTCCAGCTGCTCTGACTCGTGGACAAGCTGTGCCCCTGCCTACCTCTCCTAGTTGGACAGGTGGGCGGGGCAGGGGGTGGGGCGGTGGCGGGAACAGAAGCTCTGTACACAGGCTGGGGGTCCCCACATCTAAGGGCAGTCCTGGGTCTCTCACTACAGGTGTTCAGGTACTCCCTGCAGAAGGTGGCGTACACCGTGTCGAGGACCGGGCGGCACGTGCTGGGAGAGCGCCGCCGGGCCCCCAACTGAGGCCCCAGCCCCCAGCCCTGGGCGGCCATGTCACCAGGTGCTCCTGTGCATCTCGCCCAGCATGGGAGCCAGTGCCGCCCAGGAATAGGGGGTCCCCTGTGCTCTCTCGCCAGAGGAGCATTTGCCAAGGTCAATGAGGGGCTGGCAGGCCTCCAGAGAAGCAGCACGGCAATGACGACAATACCTGATCCCTTTCCAATCCCTGTGTACCCCTCCCACTATGGGGCGGGGTAGAGGGAGGAGGAGGGATGGAGGGAGAACTCTGAGATTTGGGCATAGGCATTCTGATCTGGACCAAGTCGGACAGTGACATCCTAGCCCCACAACCAGGGCCATACCAGCAGGCCCCACCACAGAGATCCAGACTACGACACCAGCAGCAGAATGAACATTCCAACATCATCGGCAAGCCGAAGCCCTGAACCTCTGAGCAGCAGACAAGGAGTCAATTGCGTGCCTGTGTGGCGGGACAAGAGGGCTTGGGGGGGGGGGGGGGAGAGGGTTAAGAAACAGAGAGGGGGCCCTCTCACTGTCCCTTGCCTACTGCACGTGCATTCCAGCCTTGCTGCCTTTGCTCCCTCTATTCCTCCTTCCCCCTCACTGCCTCCCAAGCCCACCCTACCAGAAAAAATGTGTCACTCAATTCGGACCTATTCAATCAGTAAAAGAATCCCAACTTTACTAAAACACCTCCGAGCCCCCAGTCCCTCATTGATCTTTTCCCTGGTCTCATGCAATTGTGGTCAATATTGTGGAAATTGCTAATTGTAATAATTGTGTAAGTGTGCATTAGTTGTGCTTCCCCAGCTAGATTGTAAGCTCCTGGAGGACAGGGACCACCTCTCAAAAAATTAAAAAAAAAGCACCTCCCCCATCTCGCACAGTGTCCCAGGACCCTGCGGGGCGGTGGAAGCGCACCAAAAAGTTGTCTCTTGTAACTTCTTTTGTGGCTGCGACACATACTTCTAAGACTGGGTTGATGTGCCCATTGTGAAGTAGGCATGATACTTGGGAGAGGGAGGGAAGGAGGGGGAGGCAACAAAATGGGTATTGGGACCCTCATATATCTCAACACGGTCCTGAGATAAAGGACCATATCCTCCTCCCCAAAGAGGTCTTCACTTGTGGTCTCAGAATAAGAGATCACTACCCCCTCCCTCCCAGAGAAGTAGGTGCCTTCACTTGTCCAGGGATAAGGGGCCTTGGCAGATAATCACTGGGAAAGATGGGAGGAGTGGAATGCTGGGAGTGGCCCTCAAAATGGGGTACTAGGAATGGGGAAGGGGAGTGCGGGGGGTAGAGGGGGACGACACATGACAGGACTTCAGAACACAAGCCCTACCTCTATTCAGGAGCCCCAAGGAAATGAGTATTGGGCAGGTGGGCACTGGGTTGTGCAATGAATATGGGATAAGTGGTATGCTGTGGTGCCTCCCTTGCCCAGTTCATTCTTCTAGGCCCTATAACCTCTACCAGGACCATTACAAGGGCATCCTGCTGGTCTTGCTACTCTCGGGTATCCCCCCCACCCCCACCCCCACGAACCTCTCTTCAGCTCACTCACCCCAATACTGGGTTCTCTGCTTCTAGAATTAGCCTCCTCATTTTTAGCAGTGCTTACCATGACCCTGGCCCTCATGTCAGGGTGGGTGGGCTGCTCAGCTCCAGACTTCTCTCCCTTTTCCCACTCCTCAGTGAGTTAGGGCTCCTGTTACATGGGGTCAGCTGACTACCTCACCAATTGGCCCTGCTGTCTATTCAGTCTTGTCTGTGGCTTTATGTGTCTCTGTCACCACACCTGTTCCTGAGTCAACACCAAGGGAGGGAGTTGGAGAGCTATAAATCTCTTTCTGCCACTTACTCAAATCCCTTAGTCACAGCTGTCACAAACACTCTGGAGCACAACTTGCCTCACCTCCTTGAACCTAATGTTTCTGTCCTCTTAGCAAGCCCCTTGTGTTTGTCAACCCAACCACCAGCACCTCTAGAGGCATCTATAACTTCAGCTCAGCATCAGAGAATCATGGGGGTGGAGGGTGCAGACCTTAGTTCTCATATTGGCTTTGCCATCAATCAGCCCAGGGAATCTGGCCAGGTCACTTAACCCTCCTTAGTTACCCTCTGTAAAAGGGCTGCTAAGATCCCAGTGAACCCTAACATACTAGAAACATTCTGCTATCAAAATGGCAATCAGGAGTGATAGGACTGGAATGGGGGTGTGCAATCTGAGTCTCCATCTTCCGTAGGCTGGGTGGCTCCAGCTTCTACTATAGCCTGAAGGTAAGGCAGGTCTCTCCTTTTGCCTCATCAGCAGGCAATGCCCACACCTCCCTTCTGAAGCCTATCTCTTAGCAAGCCTCAAGACTGGAGTTTCTGTGGTTTTCTACCAAAACCCCCAGAACCATGAACATATTTCAACATGTGTTCTCCATGAAGGCTGCCTCTCCCTTCAGAGCCTTTCAAGGATGTGCCTATTACCCCAGATGCTCTAACCTCAGCCCAGTTTTAAGGCAGCTGGGTTCATTGAGACAGGCTGTGGCAGCATAGACGGGTCTGGCTGCTCTGGACACAGTAGGTAGCCTCAGAGCTTTCCAGATGATCTTGGCAAAGCCCCTCCGCAGGACTTTCTCCATCCATACATCAGCAGGGTTCAGAGCATTGTGAGATGTCAGACTTCCAGGCAAAGGCTGCCATCATGGCCTACACCTCCATGGGTGGGCTTGAGTGTGAAATGTCCACTCCCTTCTTTTGTCCCCCATTCCCAAACCATCATGCCTTGGCAACAAACATCACCCAACAGAGAAGACAGAAGGAATGTGTTCACTTTCTATTCCAGTGCAAGGACTAGAAGTCTGGTACAAACAACTTGTTTATAATATTTTTTCCCCAGTAGTGACACCATTAAAACATTTTATTCTGACAGACAGCAATGGGAGGAGCTGAAAATGACTAGTTTTATTGTAAATCCCTTAGTCCACAGCCTCCCCTTTTCCTAAACCAGTGATGGCGAACCTATGACACACGTGTCAGAGGTGACAAGTGAACTCATTTTTTGGTTGATTTTTCTTTGTTAAATGGCATTTAAATATATAAAATAAATATCAAAAATATAAATCTTTGTTTTACTATGGTTGCAAAGATCAAAAAATTTCGATATGTGACATGGCACCAGAGTTAAGTTAGGGTTTTTCAAAATGCTGACATGCCGAGCTCAAAAGGTTCACCATCACTGTGCTAAACTGTCTCTACCACTCCCACACGGCCAAGGATAGAGCAGATGAGTTGTGAGAGGACTGGGATGGCTTTGTGGAACTGCAGTAACAGGTGAGACTGCCCCAAGAAGGATGTTAGTTTCTTAGTTTAACCAACTGAAGTTAAGCTCCAGGGGAGTTCAGGTACCATGGCGTTCAGAGGTGCTATGTGACACCGTTACCTCTATCTGTGGAGTATTTGGATTGTGATGAAAGGAAGGGGCAGGGAGGACACATTTCTTGAACTTCAACTATGGGACAGCAACAGTTTATTACACATGGTTTGAATGAGGGAGAAGGTTCGCTGTGAGCCATTTGCTAGACATCTATTTTCAAACTTGTATTTGCTCAGGAGCCAGCATCCTAAAGTGAGAGTCTGAATTTGCAGTTAGTTTCTCTCCCGCCCCTGAGATTTAACTGTGCATGAGTGCGTGTGCGTGCACGTGCACACACGTGCACATACACACACACACACAACATTAATATCAGTCTCTTTTTCCCTGGTGACCTCTTACTTCCTTTATATGCCCCAGAGACATATCAGCATCTTCTCTGGGAAAGATCCTGTTCGCCCTGGTCTCACCCCCTTCTTCCCATAGGGCCCATACCCCAGCAGAATCCAGATTCCTGAGCCTTCCCAGAACAGGAAGTCAGGGAGGCAGGCAACACATGGTCCCTGGTATATCACACAGTGACAGGTCTGAATGGAATGCATATGTTTCCGATATAAGAGAACAACAACAAAACGATGGCCAAACCCAGACTTCCAGATTCCTCTTGGAAACAACATATTACACATAAAAGGTTAAACTGGTTTTGGCAGCAATTCTAACGAGACCAATTTTTCAGAGACGGAATTGATCTAGTCACTGGAAACCCACCGGGGCTCTGAATCTTTTTAACAGATTTGCTTGACATCAATTAACCTTGTATTTTAAACAAACAAACAAGACCTAGCATTTGGCATGAGCACTTAGGCTGGAACTTTTTTGGATCCTGGCTTGGGTGCTGCCGTCCAGAAGGCTGAGGGAATGGATGGGCCAGACCAGGCAAGGCAAACAGAAGCTGTGCCCAACACACCAGTTCCCTGGAAAGGGACAAAACACGATCCAAACCTATAAACAAGAAAGACCATTTCTTTCCCAGGACAAACCCCAGGCTGTCCAACAGTTCGCGCTGAAAAGGCACACAGAAGCCTGGAAGGAAATTAAAGGAGGTTTGGAGGCGGTAAGGAAAGAAAGCAACGATCCCCCAGCCGCCAGCCCCCATGCTCCTTTCCAGGCTACAAAGTGTGCCAGGCATTCCGTCCCTCCGGCCGCCCTTGAGGGCCGCCCCCCCTATACACTGAAGGGAAAGGGTCGGGTGTCCAGGCGGGATGCAAAGTCAGAGGGAGGAAGAAGGACCCGAGACTCAAAGCAGAGTCACCTATCATCCCAGACACCAAAGCGGGGGCTCGGGGCAGGAGACCCTTTTCTCCCCCCCCCCCCCCGCTCCCCACGCCCCTTCTGATGTAAAAGAAAAAAAAAAGAAAAAAAAAAGGAACCGAAGTGGTGGGGACAGACTGACAGGCTTCTCAGAAGCTGGGTCCCCTGCCAGGGCCCCAGAACGGAAGAGGGGATGGTCGCGCCCCCCAGCCGCCCGCTCCCCCCGCCCACACCGGGAGCGGACTGGCGAGCGCTGACCTTGGAGGCCAGAACGAGAACCCAGGAATCCCGTGACCCGCCCTCGGCCAGGAAGGGGCCCTCAAGGCCCGGGCTAGGGCCAAACAGGGCAACCAAGTGAAACCGGACAGAGGTGGCTCGAGGGTGCGCGGAAGGAAAACCCCAGAGAGGGACCGGGACGCCTAAGGTGACCCCAAAGGGACAACATGGCGGCGCGGACGCACGGAGGCCTCTCATCCAACCCCCAGGAGGCCGACAACACGGTACCTGCGAGCCCTGCCATGGCACCGCCGCCACTGTTGCCTTTGCGGTCGCAGCCGGCCTCCACCTCAGTTCGCCACGGACGCCGCAGGAAGCAGGGGAGACGCCCCCTTCGTCTTCTAGTCCAGCGGTCGAGGACCCCTTCTGGGATTTGGCTGTCTACAGCAGACGCCCGATCATGAGACCCAAATTGGGAGGTCTCTCCTCCTACATTCTCCAAATATCCGCTCCAAATGACCTTTTTAGGACTTTATACCTATGTTTGAGGAACTCTGAGGGCTCTAAAGTCTTCAAGCACGAAGAATTTTTAATCAGGCGAATCCTGGGCAGCCCCAAATCACGGGCCCATGGTCCCCTCATGCATATTCAGCAGATTGTGATCACACACTTCTAGAGCTGAGGGGGGCGTACCTTGTTCCGTGTAAGTGAGCTTCTGTTCCCTTTGGTCCACGTGGATAACCCTTGTACTCAGGGAAACCCTCCTCCTGGCTCAAAGTCCTCCCCCTTCCTGGTCCTTCCACCAATGGGCCAAGGCTCAGGAGCGGAAAAATCCGGGCTCGGGCCTTAGGACTGACTTGGGGTCAGGACCTGACTCCGCCCATTGCTCTGTACCTTGGGCAAGCCACTCGCCTACCCAGGCTCTCAGCTTCCTCACGTCTGATGAAATACCTACCTCACAGGGTTGTTATGGGGATCGAATGAGTCAGTGTACTCAATTATTAGCTAATTAAGCACATTTTTTGAGCGCTTACTACGTGTAAGTGCAGCACTAAAGGCAAGAAGGAAGAATAGGGCGTGATATAGGCACCGTTCTAACCTGGGGCGCTGCCAGTCTAGTGGGGGAGGCTTGGGGGAGGGGCCAGGAAGGACAGTCATCAAATACTAACTATATGTTAATAATTTTAATCGGATCAATATATAATAATGCAATATGTGAAGTGTTGTGGGGGAAAGTATAAAGAGTTATGAAAAATTAATGGGGCCCTAATGCAGGGTGTTGGGAAGCTGGGACTTAGGCTGAGAGACCAAGGACAATTAGGAATTGTACAGGGCAAGAGTGAGAGGGGAAATGTTTTAGGCAGAAAGAACCACTTGTCCTAGATGTGAAGGTGGGAAGGAGCAGGGTGAGGGTTAGAGGTGACCAAGCAATAGTGCAGGTGGAGCCCCCTAATGAATTTGGATTTTTATCTTGAGAGTAATAAGCCATTTTCTTCAGGGGAATGATATAAAATTTGGGTTTCTGAAAGGCCATCCTGGCTGCAAGGTTTGGAAGGCACTTGGGAGTGGGTGTATGGAGATCAGTTAGAAGGCTGTTGCAGCTAGCCAGGTGCAAAATGAGTGACTCAGACAGGGTGGTGGCTTGGGGAGGTAGACAGGATGTAAGATTGGATGTGGCATAGACTAATGAACTAAAATAGATCCAGAGACATAGAAGCATCCAACAGACCCTTGAATCTCAGAGGGAAGGCAGGGGAGGGTGTGTGTGTGTGTGTAAGAGATCAACCAAAGGACTTGTATGCATGCATATAAGCATAACCAAATGACACAGACAGTAGGGAGGTGGGTACATGTGCTGGGGTGAGGCGGGGGAGCGGCTGGTGAGAGGTCAATGGAGGGAAACGGAGACATGTAATACTTTCAACAATAAAGAATTTAAATTAAAAAAAGATTAGATGTGGGTGGGTACTGGGGCATTGGCAATAACACCTAGTTTTTTTGTCTTGAGTATGAAGGAGTGAAAGAGCCCTTGACTAAAGTGGTGAAGCCTGAAGAAGGATCAGATTGAGGGAGAAGATCAAGAGTTTGGCTTTGAGAAGGTAAGTGAAATGCCTGGGCAGCATCTAGGTGGAGAGGGTCAATAGGCAGTTTTGTATGAGACTGGAGCTCAGAAGAGAGGTCTGGACTATAGATACATATGTGGGTATCTATCATTCACAGGTGATAGATACATCATGGTGTGGGATGAGATCCCAAGGGAGAAAAGGTGGATAAAATAGTAAGCAGAAGAGGAGGAGCCAAGAAAGCAGGCTGAGAAGCAGTGACCAGTGTGGGTAGGAGAAGGACCAGCTGAGCATGGGATCCCAGAGAGAAGGTTTCAAGGCAGTGCTCAGTGGGGATGACTATGTGAGGACAGAAATGGCACCACTGGGTTTGGTTACAAGGAGAGCTTATGGACTATATCCTTTACATTGCAAGTTCCAAAAAGAAAAAAGAAATCCTACTGAATTGGCTTAAAAAATAAGTAGCCTACCACTCAATGCCAGGTTAATTGGTAGGCTTGGCAAAGTCATCAAGGACATTTCACGTCTCAAGTTCATTCCATCTTTGCTCTAGTGTCCTCATGTTGGTTTCATGCTCATGGTCATGGACAGCCGTCCCAGTTCCTGGGGTTACATCTATGTCAATAAGATGCCCATTTCTTCTCTAGCTGACTCAAACAAACTGGATGTGGCCTCTCACTTTCTTGCTGCTAATGGGCTGAGGGATCAGTGCACCTCTGCAAGGCACACCCAGTATTCAATACTGGAGGAAAAGATGAGTCTTAGAGTGAGAACTCTTGTTTAGAAAAAGAGAAGGAGCTAAAAAGAGAAGTGTTAGCGTGGATGTGGAGCAACTGAAATTCTTGCTAGTAAGAGAGGAAATTGGTACAACCACTTTAGAAAACTGGCAGTTTCTACTAAATCTAAATATATACCTATGCTATGACCTAGAATTTCCACTCCTAGGTATTCATTCTAGAAGTGAGTGCCTATGTGTACAAAATGACTTGTGTAAGAATTTTCATAGCAGATTTATTCATAGTTCAAATTGGAAATAGCCCAATGTTCATCAACAGGGGAATTAATAAGTTATGGCATGTTCACTCAATGGAATACTGTGTTTTACATCTAAAGGTACAAAATACATGTGACATCATAGATTAATCTCACATAGAGTATGTGGACTAAAATAATCAAAGCACAAAAACAGTACATATTATATGATTCCATTCATATAAAGGTCAAGGGCATGCAAAACTAATATATGGTGATAGAAATCAGAATAGTAGTTATCCAGGTTGGAGAGCGAGTAGAGATGGGAAAGGAGCAAGAGGGACTTTTCTGGGGTGCTGGAAAAGGTCTGTATCTTAATCTGGTTGGTGATTACATGGGCAAAAATTCATCAAGTTCTACCATAAGCTTAGGGGACTTTGTGTATGTTATATCCCCAAGAAAAATAAAATATAATGAAAGGGAGAAAGGGGTCCTGCCAACCAGTGGTCTGTGATGTATGCTGCTGAGCAAGAATAAGGTCCATTTTGGAAGGACTCCACCTTCCTATAACCTTAATGCCAGGTCTGGACATTGACCGGACCTCAGTAGACAGCCCTTCTCGCTGGAGCCCCAGAAAACTATAGAAGGTGAGGTAGGGCTTCTTACTCACATGGGGCCGCTCTTGCCCAGGTGGTTCCCTTTCTCTGTACCCACAAGACTGCTTTACCATATAAGCTCAGTTCCCGTTGGTAGAAATGACACCAAAACTGGGCTCTGACTTCAGGGCTGGAAGGCCTTTCTGCCCTAAAATTTTGCTCAACAGATCTCAGCTTCCTGCCAAGGCCTTTCCAACCTGCCATCTGAACTTACCTGTGACTCCTGCTTGTTCCTGCTCCACATTTCCCAAGTCTTATCTATCCCTTCTAAATCCCTCTTCAGGCTTTTTTTGTCCCACCGACAAAGCCTTGGTCTAGGCCAGTGGTCGGCAAACTTGCGGCTCGGCAAACCGCAGCTCACGAGCCACATGCTGCTCTTCGGCCCCTTGAGTGTGGCGGTATTTTGTGGAAGACCCACTCTCAAGGGGCCAAAGAGCCGCATGTGGCTTGCGAGCCACGGTTTGCTGACCACGGGTCTAGGCCACCATCCTCTCTCCCCTGGACCCTGCACCAGCCTCCTCACTGGCCCCCCATCTCTCCAAGAACCATCATCCTTCATACAGCAGCCAGGATGATCTTTATAAAGTGACCCTGTCCAGAGGGGAGGGTGGTTGCGGGGCTGGGTAAAAAGGGTGAAGGGATTAAGCAAAAAAAACCCCCAAACACCCAAATGAACAAACAAACCTAATGGACACAAACAACAGGACGGTGATTACCAGAGGGAGAGGGGTGGGGAGAGGTAGAAGAGGGTATAGGGAGGATAAATGATGATGGGAGGAAATTTGATTGGGGTGGTGAACACACAATACAATATTCATATGATGTATTATAGAATTGTACACCTGAACCCTATATAATCTTATTAACCAATGGGTTTTTATCCTTTCTTTTGTTAATGTGAATCAACTATGTTGATTCTTCAATCCATGAATACTACAATGAATTCAATTAAAAAGTAAAATAAAGCCGGAACCGGTTTGGCTCAGTGGATGGAGCGTCGGCCTGCGGACTGAAGGGTCCCGGGTTCAATTCCGGTCAGGGGCATGTGCCTGGGTTGCGGGCACATCCCCAGTGGGAGATGTGCAGGAGGCAGCTGATCGATGTTTCTCTCTCGTCGATGTTTCTGACTCTCTATCTCTCTCCCTTCCTCTCTGTGAGAAATCAATAAAATATATTAAAAAAAAAAAAAGTAAAATAAAATGACCCTGTCACTTTTGAGGGGGTGTCCCCTCTCCCCTGTTTTCACCTGGCAAGAGCCTTTCCAGTTGTCAAAGCCCCATATCAAGTGCTGCCTCCTTTATGAAGGCTTTGCTTTCATTCAGCAAACATTTGTTGAACACCTAAAATGTGCAAGGCACTGTGCTAGGCAGGGATGATAGAGAAATGAATAAGACAAATGGAAAGGCCTTGGCAGGAAGCTGAGATCTGTTGAGCAAAATTTTAGGGCAGAAAGGCCTTCCAGCCCTGGAGAGATGGGCAATTAAGCAGTGCCAATGTGTGCACACGTCCTATGGTAGTTAACCCTCACTAGCTGTGAGCACTTTGAAGGCAGGGCTCATTTGGGGGTCATTTATTGGCCTCAGAGCCCAATACAAGGCCTGGCAGGGAGGAGGAGGCAATAGCTATTGAATCAAGGAATGAATAAATGAATGAAAGGCCAGGCCAACCTCCTCCTTTCTGAGTTGTCCTCCAAGCCTCTGATACAGCTGATAACCAGGTTCATCAAATTAAGCTGAAACTGGATGGCAAACTTGGAGCTAAAGTGAAAGAATCAGCAAAAGATTGTTATTTATAGCACAATGTTTTGTAAAAACACAATACCTACCTTCCTATATCATCTCTCCATTTGACAATTACTTTTTTAGAAAATCCACATTATTTCCTCACTAAGACTTAGATTCAGGAAATTTAACCTGTAATGGAACAATAGTTATTTGTTAAGTCACCAAAGAAGCTATGTGATATAGGACGATTTAAAAATGTAACAAGAATTATTACCAAAGTGACCAAAGAAGCAAGCTCTGGAATAACCTTGACTGCAGCCAGAATGCCAGGGTTTTGATTCCACTCTGCATTTACTATCTGTGTGTTGTTGAGCAAGTCATTTAACTCCCCTGTGCCTCATTGTCCCCATATAGTTGTTTCTGGGAATTCAATGAGTTTGTATTTTAAAGAACGAATAGCACCTGTCACATAGTTAGCACTCATAGTTACCTAGTACTACAAATGGATAAAATAGACTAGCCCAGGGCGGAGGCAGGACAAGTGAGTTCAAATATTTCATGATTTGCCACGTCCTCCTACCAACTCTGTCTTCAATTTCTCCAACTCTAAGACCCTTTTGTTCCAGACTTCTTAGGGCTTCTATACTTGGGAAGCTAGTGCTGCTATTTTAGCCAAGCCTGTGTCGACACCTAGTGGTGATATAGAGAAATGCCTAATATTCTTACCAAACTTTCAACCTATTAATGACAGGGACAATCTATACTAATAAAAGGGTAATATGCTAATTAGACTGGGAGACCTTCCGGAAGACCGGATGTCCTTCCAGACAAAGCCATGATGGTGGGGCTGAGGCAGAGGTGGTTAGGGGCAAGCAGGCCTGCGGGGGGGGGGGGGGAGAGGCGGGGGGAGGGAGTTGGGGGCGAGCAGGCTGGCAGGGGGGGGGCAGTTGGGGGCAAGCAGGCCAGCAGGGGCAGGGAAGTTGGGGGCAAGCAGGCTGGCAGGGGGAGGCAGTTGGGGGTGAGCAAGCCAGCGGGGGGGGGGGGGGGCAATTGGGGGCGAGCAGGCCGGCAGGGGCAGGGAAGTTGGGGGCGAGCAGGCCGGCAGGCGGAGTGGTTAGGCCGCAGCCGTGGGCAAACTACGGCCCGCGGGCCAGATCCGGCCTGTTTGAAATGAATAAAACTAAAAAAAAAAAAGACCATACCCTTTTATGTAATGATGTTTACTTTGAGTTTATATTAGTTCACACAAACACTCCATCCATGCTTTTGTTCCGGCCCTCCGGTCCAGTTTAAGAACCCATTGTGGCCCTCGAGTCAAAAAGTTTGCCCACCCCTGGGTTAGGGGCAATCAGGCAGGCAGGCAGGTGAGTGGTTAGGAGCCAGCGGTGCTGGATTGTGAGAGGAATGTCCGACTGCCGGTTTAGTAGGATCGGGCCTAAACCGGCAGACATCCCCCGAGGGGTCCCAGATTGGAGAGGGTGCAAGCCAGGCTGAGGGACACCCCCCACCCCGTGCACGAATTTCGTGCATAGGGCCACTAGTAAACTATATAAAGGTCTTCCTTTATGTCAGACACTGAGTGTTACATAAACTCAGATAGTTATTCAATTTCATTCTATAAATAATAGGTTGTAATTCTTATTTTACAGAAGAGGAAAGGAGGATTCAGGAAGGAAGTTAGTTG